TGCACTGCACCCTGATGCTTCCAGAGGAGCCCCAGAGCAAGTGCTCTCCCATGTGAATTGCATGCATCTTTGTGTCCTGGCCTCCGTGTCCTGGCTGCACCTTGCCATGGCACCCTGCTGCCCATGCTCAAGCATGGAGAACCAGGAGCTGTGGCATGTCCTGCTTGTTACCCTGTGCAACTGTTGCCTGTAGGGCTGCAAGACATTGTGTGCACCCATCCAGACCTACTGCACCCTGCGTCCGCCAAGCTTCCTGGACTGGGCTACCTTCTTCCATGTGGCTGAAGAGGACAAGGCCATCCAGGACACCATGGATGTTGGGGTACTTCATCTCCAGACCATCATGTGCCAGTTCTGGGCCCATGCCACCAGCAGTGACTGGTGGGAATAGATTGTCCTGAGCACCTGGGAGGATGAACAGAGGCTCCAGATCTTCTGAGTGCACTGAGCCACTTTCATGGACATTGTTGCCTAGCTAAACCCCCACCTCATGTACCAGGATGTCAGCATACAGCCACTCCTCACTTTGGAGAAGTGTGTGGCCATTGACATCATGAAGTTGGTTACCCTCAGTAGTCTTCACTGTCGCCATCCAGTTCAGCTTGGGCAAGTCCATGGCCAGAGAGACTGTCTGGGAGGTGTGCCTGGTTATCCAAAATGTCCTGGCTAACTGCTTTATCTGCCTCGTTAACCCACAGGAGGTTGTTGCCAGCTTCTGCTGCATGGGCTTTCCCAGCTGCATGGGGGCTTTGGATGGCACTCACATCCCAAACCTCTGCCTGTTCATCAACCACAAAAGCTACTTCTCCATTGTCCTACAGAGCATTGTTGACCACCAGGGCCACTTTACCCACATATTAACTGGCTGGGTGGGCAGTGCCCGTGATGCCCACATCTTTTCCAACTCCTGGCTCCCTGAGATGGTGAAGAGCAGGCACTATGCTCCTGAAGTCCCCAGCTTTGTAATTGGTGTCTTTGTCATCCCTCCCCTCATTGAGTACCTGGCTTTCCCCCTCCTGCTCTGGCTCATGAAGCCCTACACAGTACTCTGGCCAGCTGGGAGGAAGTTCATCTTATCTGTGTAGCTGAAATGGCCCAGAGAAATGGGGCAGGGAAGTGTGAATGAGGCAGATTTATGTTCCCACAGAATGGGAGATGGACTGCTAACTGCCCAAGGCCTGGCACCTTGGCTGTGGACCAGGAAAGGAGGGAGGGAAGGGGAGGAGGCGGCTGGTCTGCCCAGTGCTGAAACAAACCTCTTTAGCAGCCTGGGGCCCTGCACTTTGAGCAGTCAGAACAGGACAATTCGCTGTCCCCCTATGTCCCTCCATCCTTGCATTGGCTCCTGCCCCCACTCTTGTGGGCTTCTTGGTCACGAAAACCTGGGAGAGGGCTGTGACATGGGGATGGCCTGTAGTGGCCACAGGTCCTGATCCTAGGCACCCGGTTGTCCCGTCATCACAGGGCCTGTCTTTGCCACCTCCCCTGGAGGGGTCTGTGGTGCCAGCAACTCTTGTGGTGCTCTAGGTATGTGGGGTGGTGATGGCCCTGTTTGTGGTGAGGAAGCTTGATAGCTCCTCATAGAAGGGCATACTCTGCCTCCTGGCCCCAAACTTTTTGTTGATGTCATACACACGCTTGTACCAGATCTTTATCCATTTTGTCTTAGCTCGGCACCGCACCCATGCAGTGGCCCCATGCTCACATCTGTTGGGCAATATGCTTGAACATGTCCCTGTTGTGGTGCCCTTTGTGGAGCTGGTGCTGGGTCTCCTCCTTGTCTGGGATGGCAGCAAGTTCCCTCGTCTCACTATAGTCTCAGTTTGCCTATTTGCCCTGGCTTGGATGCTCAATGTCAACCACTTCTGTCCTCTTCTCCTCCCCCTGGTCCTAGTACTCTAGGACCTTGGTTGAGTGTTTGGGTGACAGGGTCAGGTTTATGGGCCTGTGCCTGAGCGCAGGGGCTCTCTTGGGCTTAGTGTTGGCATCTGCATGTATATTGCATGGTGCTTTGTTATGGCATGTGAGGGCATGGCCTGGGGTGCCCAGGTCCAGGGGCTTGTGCAGGGGACACAGATGCCTCCTTTCTCCCTGCTGCCTGCTTGTGGCTGACTCATGGCTGGAGGCAGGACACAGAACTGGGGAGAGAGGCTGTGCTGGTTTGCTTTTTGGGACAGCCAAGGGTGGGTCCTGCTAGGCGCCTGGCTGGAGCAGCTGAGTATGGGCCGAGTGTTAGTGTGCCTCCCTGTAATGGAGGGGTAGTGGGGGCCACAAAAGAGGCTGGGATGCTGGGGGACAGCAATCTAACTTGAACCAAAAGGAAAACAGTACAGAAGTTTGATACATCAGTCTAACCTAAATCGATCTGAATTGAGTGTACCTCTCACCAGGTTTATCTTAGGCAGCTTGTGCCATTTTTAGACCCATCTGTGTGCGCCAGACTTCTGTATGGTTATGAGTTTAGACTAATTTCCAGTCACTTGGATTGGTCTAAGTGTTATGTCTGTATGTACCCCTAGTGGTAAATGGTAGTAATGGATAAAAATGCAACAGAAGGTTGACTGTAGGAAGAAAATGTAATATTCATTTGGTGTTTTGGGCTGGGGAATGGTTTTCCAAAGGAAGTGGAAAAACCACAAATTAAAAAAAAAAATCTAAGCAGGGAAAAACCCCTAGAAAATTTACTGTGAGCGTTGACAAACTGTATTATCTCACAGATCCTTTTGTGGTAATGTCTACGATTCCACTAATTTTAGAGTGATCTAAACAAGCATATGGGGGTCGTATGTTTATGAGCCCCATTTTAGTGCAAACATCTATTGACAATGGCTTAGAAGTCATAATGATTTTGAATGCATTTGTAGACCGGGATTGTGTCATTGGATACATTAGTAAATCAGAATTGACTCATATTTGTCTCCTTCCTCTACAAGGCTAACTACTTAAAAGTTGCTCCTGAATTATATATTCTTATCACTATATAATAGATACATATTATAGTAGGCTCCAGAAACTTGTTTGAGGGTGCCTGGGTGGGAGAGTAGTGTGGAAAGGAAAAATACTGGATCTCAAAAATTCAGTAAATACGTGTAAGAATTCAAAATGAATGGGCTTGAAGGGAACTATGAAGTGTAGGTGGTGGGGGGGTAGAGAGGTAAGAGGGAGAAGAATGGGTGTGTGTTTTGAGAGACGAAGATAAAGTGATCTTATCAGTAGCTGACTTCAGAGAATGTTTGCTTATTGCTCTCTAACCAAGACTTAATTTGACTAATTTCTTTGGCAGATCCTGAATTGTGAACTCAGTACCTCAGCCTGTTTATTGTCTGTGCAGCCCTAAGTTTGCATAGTTAGCTATTGCCCTTTTTTTGTGGTTCTTCCCTTGGTATGAGGCACCCTTCCATAATTCATGCTCTAATTTAAAAAACCCTCATAATGTCATATCCATTTTAGTCATTTTTAATAAAACCCTGAAATCTCAGGAAGAACTAGCAAAGATCCATCATTTCTGTCCCTTCTAATATTTTTCTCAAGTCAGTTGAAGAACATTTTCTGTTTGCTGAGGCTTTAGATGGAGTTTTCTTAACCTAGGAAGCAATATTTCATAGAGAGCGGCCTTGGAGGGTGAAGTATTTTGTGTATGCAAGTGCTGGAGAAGTGGTTTCCAGTTATTCCTTACCCTACTTTATTGCCTGATATAATACACCTGTATTGTAACTAATTAAACTTGTATGCCTAACTTTCAATAGGCATACATCCTAAAGGCCCGCTTAGCTGATCTGCAAAAAACATGTAGTTTCATAAAAAATTCATAAGTCTTGATTGTTAAGAAATGTTGAATCGCAAGAAGCAGGGGAAGCAGGAATAAAGCTATCCGACTATTTTTAGAAAATGCATACTGCTTTAGCTTGTCATGTCTGGTATAATATCACATCAGACTGTATTGTTTTTTATGCTACATACATATACAGTAATAGTAGCCTCAAGGGCAATCCCTGTGGTTTTTAGTGTGCCTTCTGCTAATTGCACATCAGTTGCATTTTGCTAATGGATCCTATAGTATGTGCATTATGTTAGCTTCTCTTTGCTCTGTAGAAAAAATTGAAGCACCAATAGCTATCATTAAGTACTTCAGAAATAAAACTTGCTGGATATATTAATGCTCAATATCTTTCTTGTAGTTATTTTGGAAGCTAAGCAGGGATTCGGTATAAAACATGCAAATACGATTTGGGATAGGAACAGGAAAACCTAGGAAAATCTTGGGATTTTTAAATTATAACAATGAAGTGCAAACAAGCATATTTTCAATATACTTTCACAAATTTCATTGGCACCATGGATTATATGAGTTCTACATAAAATAGGAGCTAGAGAAAAAGTATGAATTTTGACCTAAATGAGTTAATTTTCCTTGGCTATTAACCCATCTTTCTACTTCACGTATAAAGTAATTAATCTTTTGTCATGTATGTTTGAATGTCTTTTGAATGTTAAATGTATTTCACTGTAATTATGGTTTGCTTTGATGTATGGTATTCTTTCACAGCTTTTCTATCCTTTCTGATTCTGAAGCTATGATCCCAAATCTCCTTTCAAGTGCTTAGGTCCATATACACTATTTTGGTTAGTTGCTTTTATATTAATTTTTATTTAAATCTATGATGATACACATTTTTAGTTTATTTTCAAACTAAAATTTGAAATATTAACCACCTAAGTTTGCTTGAAAATTAAATGCTTCTTTGTATATTCAGCTTTAAGAAAACTGTTAGCTTTTAAAAAAAATCAACAGTTCTTTTTTTGTTTGTGTAGGGGAAAATGCAGTGTTGCACTTCTGAATGAGACAGAATCCGTGTTGTCATATCTTGATAAAGAGGTAACACGTGACTAAATCTTTTATTCTTAAGTAGTGGGATATGTGGAGTCCATCATGAGATTTTTTTTTATTGTAGAATTATAGTAAATGAACAGAGAAAAGTACAATTAAAAGATTGTATTAAGTATTAAATGTCAGGCTCAAAAATATTGACAGTATCTCATCTAACTTTTCAAATTATTGTAGATTAAAGTAATTTAATATTTCCCCCCTCTTTTATTATGATTTTAAGCCTCTTGCACACAAAAATAAAATAGACAACACTTTCTTTAGGCAAACAATTTTAGTTGCTTTTTAAAAATAATAAACTAAAATAGATTTGTAAAAATGTCAGTGTAAATGTTTGGCAGATAAGTGTCCTTTTCATGAATTTCTTCATTTTAGCCTGGAGCAAATAGTGCTTTCTGTGCTTAAAATCAATATGTGTTCATATTTTTACACCAGAACAACCAGTGCATTGTAAGAATGGTTCTAAAATCTTGCTTAGCTGCTCTTCTAGTCGGGGACACATCAATGAAAATTTAGTTCACATCCTATTCAGGCTCTGATGATATTTCCTGTTGTTTGGTACTATTTTGTAAAAACTTTTATCAAGGAAATATTGATAAAAAGAAATAAATACAAAATAATAATAATAATAGAAGTTTCCAGTCAAGCCCATGAAACTATGGTGATAAATGGCTGGTCATTGTACTTTCAATTTTTCACTCTTCTGAAATTTATTGTATTTAAAGATGTACCAGCCCTCTAAACAGTGAGGCAATACCTATTTGCTGAAACATGCATGTTACCTAAAATGAAGATTAATTAAGATGGCATAGAAGTGTACTAAAGGTGGGTTTTATGGTGTAAGAGTTTAAACTTTTTTTGTTTTTGTAATTTTTAAATGAAAAAAATGTAAGTTTAAAGCAAAATGAAATAATGAAAAACATTAAGTATACCACTGCAAATGTATTTTTTTTAGGATACTTTTTTTTATTCACTGGTATATGATCCATCACTGAAAACGCTTTTAGCAGACAAGGGAGAAATCCGAGTGGGACCTCGATATCAAGCAGATGTACCAGACATGCTTACAGAAGGTAAATATATTTTAGTCTTTGACTGTTCAAAAAACCCAGTATATCACATTACTATTTCGCTGGCATTCAGTGGTGTGCTTGGCACCTTCCACAACAGAGGAAAAGTGAAAACCTATCCTAAGAAACAGACAGACTGTATGTTAGATGTAATGAGAAAACAGGAGAGAGAAGACAGAATACTTATGAAGTGTATCTTGTTATACTCCTAGGATTTTTGCAAGTCATGATGTAGAAAGTAATATTTTTATTTTTATTACTTGCCTAATTGTGTAGATCAGTAGGCTACTGCACACGAGCACCACAGAACAGTTTCGTATGATCCCATATTTTAGACTCAGTAAACCAGAAACAGTACAAAAGAAAAATGTCCTCTTTGTCCATGACCTTCTCTTTGTAAGTATCAACTTGACCAAGGTGAAAGAGTTATTTATAGTATGGGGGTCTGCTTTGTAGCAGGATTTCAGGCCATGAAACACTTGGAAATTATGGAACCTCTTTGTCTTGCTCATCTAGCTGGAATTTTTAAGAGCCCTATTCACTTTTTGCTATACATCAACTTTATTTTGGTTTATATACATTTTACATATGGTATCTATTTAGAATGGAGTTTGTCATGCAAGAGGTATGATTACTATTGATTTGCCTTCTATGTGTAATATGAATATATTTGCTTAGGAGTAGTTGTTCTTCAGTAAGATTTGTGTTGTGATATGAGTTTATGCTCTTCATTTCATAAATGAAATTACTTTTTTTGAGGGAGGGCTAGGACATAAATAGTGTTTTTTAAAACCTTGGTTATTCCTTAATTAATAAGGTAAGCGCATTCATAGCAGGAATATGACTTGTATAATGTCAGTGGGAGTTCATCAGGCACAAGAAATGCAAGATTGTGCCCTAAATAGGATGTTAAACTGTTCTTTAATTCCTGCCAAGTGTGAATTTTGTTTTGGTTTTGAAACAAAGTCAAAGTTTATGCAATCAACTGTGTAATGGGAGAATGATTGATTGCTCTAGCAGGAGAGGCAGACTGATGTAGATGAAATGTGGCAGATCACTGCATTATTATTAGGATTATTTTATTTATTAGCTACTTGATAAAGTACGTGAGGAGTGCAGGCTTGCTACAGAACATGACAGGAATATGAAATAATGTATTTGTTCTGTCTAAAGCTGTTCTAGGGACTTGGATAACTTGTTTGTTCTACAGAGATTCATATGATGAATGTTTGCAAGGGACTTAGATGTCTCAGATGTGCTATATAAAATACACAATATATAGTTCAGTTAATGCTAATCTCTATGGGCGCATCTACATGTGCACTTTACTGTAGAATAGGCTAAGTAACTCCTCAGTACACCTTCACTGTCTTAGAGCTCAGTAAACTAACTCTGCTGTGGCTGGGCACACATCACAGACTGTACTGTCTTACAACAGAGTAATTAACTGGGCTGAAACACACATGTAGATGGTGACCGGGCAGGGGCCAGACTCCTGGCTGCTGCCTAACCACACAGCTCTACGGGTTATGCACTCTTGTGTCCCAGCCAGTCTCTCTGCCACCCAACACTGCCATCTGAAGCCAGGAGCTGGCTCCCTGTGCTCCCTGCCAGCCTGGGCCTGCTCCACCCTGGCGCAAACTGCTGCTGTCCCAGTCGCATGCGTAAAAGCTGCACCCAGAAGCAGTTTACATTCGTTCAAACAGCTCCAGACTTTATTGCTTTGCTTTAATTTCATGTGTAGATGCACCCTGTGGGCACATCCACATGAGCGTACACGTGCGTCTTGCAGCATCTCAAAGCACTTTGAGACACTGCGAGAAGCATGTGCGGGAACGAAAAAACATTCCCTGCATTGCAAATTTGCAGTGCAGGGGCAGGGGTAAAAAAAAAAGTGGGGAAAAAGCTGGGCAGGGCATGGCAAGCGGAGGCTTGGCCCTTGACAGAGACACTCTGGTAGCCAACCAGAGCATCTCTACCCCAGTGCTGAAGTAAGTTGCATGCCTGTGCAGGGCAGGAAGCGTTCCAGCAACAGGGAGCTGGGCTCAGCTCTGTGCCAGTAAGTATGTGGGGGGGGGCTGGAGCAGGGGGGAGGG